TTACCTGAATAAAGCCAAGTGCCGGGGACCTAAGTGGTCACCTTAATATATAAAAAAAAAAAAAAAAAAATAAAGAAAATTGAAATTTATCATTATATTCATATTTTTAATTGCAGAACCTTCAAACAAGTAATAACGAAGTGAGGTACAAGCAGATATAATTGATTCTGGTTTATATAGTTTTCCATCTTGACATTTCATATCTGCAAAGAATTCATACAATTCTTGCTCAAGCTGGTTTTTATCATTAAGTGTTTGAATATCATAAGAAATATATATATTTTTTTACGATATTTTTGTAAACTTCGAACCTATTTTTGTATACAAGCATTAGTATTTTAGATTTTGGATTTTTTAATATAATGTTGAATATTATCTACAATCATATTATTAGATTCATTAGATATATTATGTTCAAATAGTTCATGAGCTGATTCAAGATTATTTGATGAAGACATTAGAAAAGTGTTAATTTTTTTTAATTGTTTTTTTTTTTTTTATTTAAAATTCTACACTTATTAGTTATGTCACTTCTATTAAAAAAAATAATATGAAAGTATAATTGAACTGTAGAATAAATCAGTTATTGCCCACTTCACAGTCAATAACTAATATATATTTATTAATGATAGAATATTTAAGATACAAGACTATTAATAGATATCTGTGCCTAAAGAATCCTAATGACTAAAGATTGCAGAGAACTAATTCTAAAGCTACAGGAGAGCAAAAAGCTAGAGTTTATATACTTTTACAAATATTAAGAAAATATTATTGTTATACAAAATACAAATAATAAAAAAGATAGAAAAAGTATAAAAGGTATAATAGTATAAAATATATAAAAGATACAAAAGGTATAAAAGATATAAAAGGTATAAAAGATATAAAAGATATAAAAGGTATAAAAAGTATAAAAAGTATAAAAAGTATAAAAGATATAAAAGATGACTTAAAAAACTCTTCTCGTAGATCACTCTTACCAAAACAGGAACAAAAGGAAAAAACTTTCCTGCAGAATTATCTCAAAATTTTATTAAGTAAACTGATACTCGGCTCTTAAGTAAAGTTATCTGGCACCTACAAAAGGACCTAAAAGAGGTGCTCTTTGTTTAAAAAGTTCTCTCTCCGACAAATAAATAACAATAAACACTTCAAAGGACAAAAAACTAGTTTTCTCGTCCTTCTGTGAAAGCGGTCCTAAGGACCACCAATACCTAAACACATCACTACAAAGTACTAACAGCCCACTACACCAAAACAACAAAAAACTTCAAACAACTCCCACTACCGAGCCTCAACTTGCCCCTAAAAATATGACCTCAGAAAGCTCCTCCGGCATCTTCAGTTATTTTTTTATGTCTCGCAAAGCCATACAACAAGAGGCCACTGCCATTATCTCCTAGCCACAGACTTCAGAAGTAGAACATACAAAAAATTTTATCGAGATTACTATCAAAGATTGGTCCAAACTTACCTTTGTTGTCAGCTTCTCTATTCCAGAGTACGTCAACGACTT